ATCCTGGGTGTTATTGTCAGCAGAGATTTGGACAATGGCCAGTATAAGATCGCTGTGAAGTCGGGTGTTCTAAAGGGTCAGTATTCTAGAAACCAGTTTGACCTCTGCCCACAGCAGCGTTTGCTGACAGAAGATGACGTAAATCAGGATACTGCAGTGTCACTTCGAGAAGCTGTTATTGCACAATCTGCATGTGGTGGTCAGGGATTCACTAGATGCAACTCTAGTGGTATGAAGAGTAAGTGTTTCGAAGCTAAAGTGAAATATAACTCTCGGTGCTATGGAAGTGTTAACTGTGCTAATAAATGCTGATTGTTGAATAACCGTCAGGTATCCAGATACCAATGTAATGAATAGTTATGATATAGCAATATATGTATGCTCTTATGAATGAACAAATGTATGCTCTTATGAATAAAATGAATGTTATAGATACCTGTTGTCATGTATTTATTAGGAACTAAATAATAGATTTTTCAAATAGTTTTAATCTAGAAGACGCTCCTTGTGACAGCAGTTCTATTGATGTTATTAAGGACATTATTGCACATCCATACATCATCCAGACATATGAAAAATATCGAAACAGTAATTAGAGGATTTTGTGAATTTCCTGGATATTTCAGTAAATTAACGAAATCCCCGAGTGAAACAGTGATTTCACGAATTTTCTAAAAATTTTAGGGGTTTCGTGAAATCCCTGATTTCACAGCTTTACTGTAACATACACACACACACACACACATATATATATATATATATGTATGTATATATACATATATATGCATATGCATATATATATACATATATATAAATATGTATACATGTGTGTATATATGAATAGTAAAACTAGTGTCTCAATTTCATGAATCTATTTTGTGCATTGAGTGTTTTACATTCATATATATATATATATATATATATATATATATATATATATATATATATATATATATATATATATATATCTTCAGACGGAATCCTAAACTGTTGTTTAGTTTCAGTAAATATAGTTCGTGTATTATGAGTTTTCCTACCATATATACATTCATATACATACAATCATCATCCTTGTGGAGCTAACGCCGGCGGGGACACATAGCTGTATCCACACTTCGAGGGTCACTCATGGCAAGCCGCTAGGCAGGGGTCCGGCCCATCTCTAGCTCTCCACGACAGGTTTGATCGATTTGCCTAATCCACGACTTTCTAGGTCGTCTCACAGGCTTTCTCCACCCAGAGTTGTCTCGAACAGAGAATAAACTGGGCAGGGTCATCCTGTGGGAAACGAGCCAGATGGCCGAAGAACTGAGTTGGCGATTGCGGATTTTGCAAGTAACAGGTCCAGTACCAGTCTGATGGTGCAACTGTTGAGTGGACGTGTGGTACCGCCAACTGTATCCTTTGATCCGGCACAAAGACCTGTTACAAAAGGTATTAAGACGAGATTCTAAAGCCCAAGATAGTGTCCAGGTTTCCCTACTTTATAGTAAATATGGCAGTATCAGGGCCTTCAAGACATGTAACTTGGTCCTTCTGCACAGGGTTTCCAGAGACTCAGAAAGAATAGCAACATTATTAGCAAAGTCTGTTCCATAGTGATTTTGGACAGTAGCTCTACCCAATATCCAGTCCATGAAAGTATTGAAAAGTGTTGGTGTAAGAACACAGACTTGCATCACCTCTGAACTAGCAGGGAAGAAGCTAGACGGGCTCCCACCACACTTTACAGCAGTTTCAGTAACAGTATACAGGCTTGCTATTAATCCAATAATCTTGTTGGAATTTCTCTTAGTCTCAGGATCTCCAAGAGTGATTCGTGATGCACTGTATCAAACACCTTATGTGAGGATTGTTGTAAGTTGCAAGCAGACCATGTCCGAACTCATGTCAGTGCAATGCAGTGACTCAAAGCACTGCCAGCATCAGCTCCTCATTGCCAGTTCAGTCACAGCCAGATACCGCATTGAAGTCACCAAGAACAATACAAATACCTCGCAGATGACAGCTGTCTGTCACAGATGCTAGTTTGTTGTAAAACATAAGTTAATAAACATCGGTAAGAGCATACACAGCAGTAAGAGACATGAAGACAAATGTAAGCTTCAATCTCAATACCATTATATGCTCTTCGACTGGAGTGACCTCTACTACCGAGCATTGAAGTCTGCTGGAGATGGTTATGACTACTCCCTGGAGATAGTGGCCATTACTGCAGCCCGACTAATAATAAGTGTAGCGACCCATACTAGTCATGCCGCTACCAGGTTTCCACACTTCTGAGAGAGCAGCCACCTCAACTCTCAGTTACTTTAGCTCCCTCGATAGTAATGGTAACCGATCGTCCTGTCTCAAAGAGCGGACTTTCCACTGTCCCACCCTGACAGGCCGCCTGAGGTTTAACTTTGGGCAGTCACTCTGGGTGGATGCCAACTCTGTGTGTAAATATATACACACATACACATCCATGTGTATATATACACAAACACACACATATGTA